ATCTATATTAAAGTTAGTCTCTAAAACATAACTCCAAATAGTTTCTAAATCAGCCAAAACTGCAGTCATGGAGCCCCCAGGACCAGAATGAATATTAAAATCACCTCTTCGATATGGAAAATGTATATTATAATCTTCATGAGAATTAATTCTTAATATCTATAAAATAATATCCACTAGTATATGTTATACAATATGTGAAGTAAATTCTTACATCATTTCCCACAATAACATCAGATTCAAATTTAGTCCATTCTCCACCTGTTGTAGACAAAACCTCTGGTTGAACACGCCTATTGAATGCTGCAATTTGTTGAGGAGGTGTTGCATAACGCCTTCTTCCGTCAGATTGCAAGCAAGACTGTAAAGTATGAGAAACTTGAAGTCTTGCTTCTTCCATTTCCTGGGTCTACCAAAAAATGTACTGTTTAATCATTAAACATGAAATAGATAGCAGAAGCATACCACAGCAACTCTAGATGGTAAAAAGGAATCTTGATATTTATAACCAAGTTTTAAACGTTTCCTGGCAACTGCATGTAAAACTGTTACAGGATTCAAGTCAGAAGCTCTCCCTATCCTCAGATTAAGGGATCCAGGGTGAATTACAATAATAGACTTTGAATGAATATGCTATAAAAGAACTGTTTTATTGCACAATAAATGCAAGGAAAAATGGTGCAATACCTCTGGAGGAGTCTCCGGGTATACCGGCATTGTTACTAAATTTTTATTCATTGATGCTCTCACTAATGTATAATTAAAACATACCGGTAACTGACTAATATTTTTTAATTTTTCATTATTTTTATACTTTTTAAACAATTTAAGTAATACAAATTCTTTACAGCTTGACGTTTAAATAAATAAGGTTATGCATTTTATTTCTATTGCCTGCTGTGACCGTTAAAACCATAGATTAAAGAAATATATACTACCCATTGAAATAGACTACAGATACCCCTCCACTTCAATTATACATTCAGTTAAAATCATAGATATCTCATAGTTACCAATCATAGAACGGATCATGGATCTTAGGTAGTCTTCAACTATGCTGCATAGATTATGTAGGCTTTATATTTTTCTTTTAAAGTTATTTACGATGTGTTATATAATTTTAAAGGAATTATTACAAAAAATTACATTGACACTTACATTTTAAAAATTGAAATTAAATTAACTTTCCTTGCATAATGTTAGTTACATTTTTTATAATGTTTAATGTACCCAATAAAAAAAATTATAATATTCAATATGTATTCAAATACTCAAAAAAGAGTATTAGTAGTAAGGTATATTGTATAAATTAAATAGCTGATTATTGTTTTTGATTAACGTATTACTTAATAAGCAGGATTCAAGTGAACACTTCCAATGAAGAATGCGGTGCCTGTCTGAATAAGACTCGCAAATCGCAAAAGATAGAAAGACATTCCGATATAACTATCCTACTCCTTACAGAACAAGTCGGTGTGTCCTCCGCAGCAATAAAATTTTTAATTAATTCTCAGGACACCCCTTGCAATTACGTCATATCACTCATTAAAAGTACCGAAGTCGTTGAATCGTTACAGTTGAAGTTTCGTGTGTACAGTTTGTGCTATAAAACAAAAAATCGTTATGAGTGCTCCTGTGAAGAAGGTTCCCATTCATTTGCAGGTAAATTTAGTTTGTTTTTTTTTTAGAAATTGGGGTCAGCATTTAGTTAGTTAAGGTAGTTGTATTTTTTACCTAATTGCACGTCTTTATTTACTTTCATACATTTTTGGTAATTACTTGACCGACTGTGTAAGTTTACTTAGTTTTAACTACCTTAGACTTGAAAAGATTGTTATTGAAGAATTATTTGTTTACGGTTATTTAAATTACATATACTATCTAAACAGTTATTCTTTTATTTTTTCTTTTACGAATTGTAGTACCGGGTCATGAACTATTTATAAATCAGGTCGTTTACTGTTTACTGTAGTTTAAATAATTTTAAAGGGTTCAGTAGAGAAGATACCTGGCCGTTCTTTAATTTTGTAATGTAAGTCAGTATCAATCAGTTGGGAGTCACTAAATAACACTTTTACAGTAGATAAGATAAAAATAATTTTTATTAAGTACCTACCTATATTTGTCAATGAATACCATTTTAACAACAATTTCATAACATTGATAAACCAAGTACCAATTTATGTTTCTTTTTGAGAAAAATTAGACTACCTATCTAATCTATTATTTTTATGCCATACCAACTTGGATATTCAATATACGTAGAGTAATGATAAAAAAAAATTGCAGATAAGTGTCTAAACCTTTGGGCATTTGCTCTAAGCACTCTGCAAATATTTTCTATCATTCAAATATTGTTATACAAAATAATTTTGTTTAAAGGGAGTTACAGCTACATAATTGCTATTACTGCTACTACTGTATGCAATACATAATATGAAGTTGCTTCCGGTTTAATTCAAATAATTATCCTCATATACAGTCTCAAAAATTAACATAAGTTTATGTGTCTATATTAGAATATATGTACATTGTATGTTTGTTTACTGGCAGAATAGCATACCTGCCTTAATATGAATACATATCTATAAAATAAGTTAGAGGAAATGATATTTCAAACACGCACATTAAATTCGGAATAAGGAAATGAAATATGAGGTGTGATCAAAAAGTATTGTCGTTAGTAATACTAGTTTTTATTTCAAATACTGTAACAAAATAAGCAACAAAACTGTATTTATTTTCAGAGTTCTCAAAACCGCCTTTTAATAAAGAGTGGTAGAATTGTTAATGACGATGGTATATCAGAAAATGATGTTTTCATTGAAGACGGAATCATTAAAGAAATCGGTAAAAATCTCATTATACCAGGTGGTACCAGAACGATTGATGCAAGGGGGCTATTCCTTCTCCCAGGGGGCATAGATCCCCACACACATTTAGACTTTGAATTTATGGGTACTGTTAGTGCTGATGACTTTTACCAAGGGACCAAAGCTGCCATTGCTGGAGGAACAACTATGATAAGTACGAGAACTGGTTCAAAATAATTCTGATTTTAAATGATTGCGTTTTTCCAGTCGATTTTGTAATTCCTAAAAAGGGCGAATCTCTTATCGATGCTTACCATTCATATCGCCAGAAAGCTGATGATAAGGTGTGTTGTGATTATGGATTACACTCCGCTATTACTAGTTGGGACCATAAAGTCAAGAATGAAATGGAAATTCTTTGTTCTAAATATGGGATTAATTCTTTTAAAATGTTTATGGCTTATTCATTTAGACTTGACGACTCCGAACTTTATTCTGCTTTTGAATATATTCGTAAATTAGGTGCCATAGCACTTGTTCATGCAGAAAATGGAGCAATTATTGAGAAGAACACGGAAAGATTATTAGAAAAGGGAATAACGGGTCCCGAAGGGCATGAACTTTCAAGACCTGAAGAAATTGAAGCTGAAGCTGTAAATCGTGCCTGTGTCATAGCTAAACAGGTATATGCGATTTTTTATGTATTAACGCATGAGAAACCTTATCCACAATACTATCGCAAATTTGATTAAATTTAAGAAAACTAACTTGGGGTTTTAAGAATTTCAGTACCTACTACAAATCTATATATTTGAGATTAACAATTATCTTCATGTAAAATACTTGATAGACTTTTATGAATACATAATTTTGTTCTTCATTCTCAAATGTCGTTATTTTTCACTTCAGCTAATTAATTAGTTTTATTTGAGGTAAATAAAATTTGCACCACTTGAGCTTTCAATGTTAAGACCATTTTCTGGCACTGCTTATTCACTAGAATAGTGTGAATTTAATTAAAGTTTTGCATGATACTTAGTCAGTATACATTAAAATATATATACGTTAGGCTCTGGTGGCATGTTATAGGTAGCTTGTCCTCTGTATATTGTGCATGTGATGAGCAAATCAGCAGCTCAAGCACTGGTTATTGCTCGTGATAGAGGTTCTCAAGTTTATGGAGAAACATTAGTAGCTGCCTTAGCCACTGATGGTTCACATTATAAACACAAATGCTTCCATCACGCAGCTGGCTATGTGCTGAGTCCTCCTCTTCGGCCGGACCCCACCACCCCTCAGTTTTTAATGAATTACTTGAAACAGTAAGTTTCTGTTCTTTCTACGTTTTTTTTTTTGTTTAGTTATTTTTAATAAATAGCTTTAATTGTACTGCTATCCCTGGCATTTGGTTTTACTATCATTATATTTCTTTTTTATGCTCTCTCATTATCCTTTGTGTGTCTTTAGAACTAGCTTAACATACCTACATTGTGGAAGGAGGTTCTTTAAATAATCTGATGTATTTTAAGATTTAGTCGTCTTTCGACAGTATTAAATTCTTGTAATGTTAATGAATTTTTTAAAGTGTTTTTAATATGTATTGAATGCATCAGTGTAGAGTCAAGCATTTTTAAGTACAGGTAAACGTCCCTTTGTATGTGACGCATGTGTCAAATATAACTATCCTACTCCTTACAGAACAAGTCGGTGTGTCCTCCGCAGCAATAAAATTTTTAATTAATTCTCTGGACACTTAATCAATTTTCGTCAATGCCTGTTTAATGCTATTTATTTGAGCTCAGCAGTCGGTATTAAAAAAAAATCAATAAATTAGAACGTATTTAGAAAGACATAAAAAATAAATGTGGGCAATAAAAAGTTATAACTCTTTTAAACATATTTTTGATAGAAAGATCTCTTCATAGAGAATATCGAACAATTCTCTTTTTGTATCTTTAGTATATACTTAAATTTCGACACTAGATGGTGTTATAGACCTGGCCAATGAAAATCAATAATTCAAACACCTACTGACAAAAAGGGGGACCAATTTTAAAAATTAATCAAACACTCCCTAGTGTAAAATAGAGATAAAACGACCATAAAATGTTCCGTTGGAAATTTGACTTAAATATTTAATCTTGTTTGTGTAAAAAAAAGAACTAAAACAGTTCGAAATATTTGGGACTTCTTAGTTCCCTTAATTTTAAAGTTTGATTTCGACATTCGAATCTATAAATCCATTTAAGGAAAAATAGCGAAAATGTTCATTTTAATTTAATAAACGACCAAAAAAAGAATATAATTCACCCACCCTATAGCAGTATGTTGATTCTAGAATGTAAGTATCCAAATCGTTTCGTAATGTAGGGCAGCAGGGATTGCAGAGGGTGGAAACTGGCGCGTGCGTTTCAAGTATTCACGGTCAGCTGCAGTACTATTAGTATCGGCGTCATTTAACGACGCAGTGATAAAACGCTGCGTTTGTGACCCTTCGGGCGATGCCCCAGAGAGACCAATGATGAGGAGCAGCAGCTCTGAACTGCTCCTAGACAACCAAGAAGAGCTCCTTCGAAAGCAAAAACTGCAAGAGTTAGCTCTTCAACAAGCTAGTGTAACCGGTGCATCAGCTGCAAGGTCTTGTAGGGAAAATGCTCTCTTCTATTCAACCAGCGTGTTGGCCGTCATTGCCATGTCGGCAGGATCATCCCTTCTATTCTTGGTACCGCTCTACGTCGACCCTGCCATTTCAACCCTCGCTTCCAATTTTGTCCCAGAGCCAGTTACCTGCATCACAACCAGGAGAGACCAACTCGTCGGTAAGGAACTTTACATTTTTTACTTCACTCAATAAAATATTTATTACTAGCATCGAGTATTTAATTGTAAAATTAATTTCTATATTCTTTTTTGCATAGCTACTGTAAGTTGATAAACAATTGCTTGCTTATTTAGAAAAGTATTTGTAAATAGTTAATTTATTCTGTTTACGTTTCTACTTCAGTGTTTTCATCATAAATAATTTTAGGGCTTGTCAATTGTTCATGGAGTTCTTGCAGAGAAGGGTGCACAAGTGATGCATATCATTGCATCCATATTTACGTCAGTTACAACGACTCAGGACCAACTCCAAAACAAGTCAACGATGCTGTATTACTGGTGAACATTAAGGGATGCGGGTATCCCCCGAAAGTCACGTGTGCCAATTTCACAGATATGTACGGAGTCGAGGGTGCCACTTACCCCTGTTATCATTCACTTAAAAATCGTACACTCGTTTTGACACACTACGATAAAGATGAACAGGTAAACTAAAATAACGTTTTTTTACACTGCAAAGAAAACAAATGTAGATTCTTTCCATAAAATGGATAGCTTTTAAATGTTTCAAACGTTTAAATATTTTTAATTTCCTTATATTATTAAAAAATGTTTCAAAGGGTCAATTACAGAAGTTATTAAATGTGTCAGATTATTTTAGCTTATTATATTCAAGCATACATTTAAAGAGCAAACACAACTTTTTTAAGTGTGCTCGAAATTAAAAAAGATATTACTTTATTTATATATTAACGTAATTTTTCTTTTAGGTGGCTATAATAATTCATTTTTTCGCCGTGCCGTTCGTGATAACATTAGCAACATCAGTTGCTTTATGTGTTATGCACTGTGACTGCCGATGCCACGTAGTAGCGCACCATAAGAGAGTGCGAAGGTCCCGCATGCACCAAGACTTTAGTGACGGTTCTATAAGCACTGGGGTTGATCTTCATCATACTATTAGTCATCATTCTGATCTTGTTGCTATACGTAACATGTGATGTTAGCGTTTCGGTCTAATTCACGTACAGGGTGAGCCAAAAGGAATTGGCCCAACTTTATTCTTCTTATCAATTAATATTATTCCTGTTTTAAACAACACATCACAGAACTGGTTAAATTTATAGTATCTAACGTAATATATTTATTACCTCATTCATTTATTTTCAATTTATAAAACGAAGATATCTCTATTTAGACAATAAATACATAGGAATGATTTTGCTTCACCCAGTATGTGAAATTATATTAATAGTCTAAGAGCTGCTGCTGAGATCTGGTTTGGTTTTATGGGACTCCTTAAGAAAGGGATCAATTTTTAATATTCTGCTAGCCAACTTTCCTCACAGTACATTAGTATTGCTAAAATTTACACTAAGTACATACACGAAAGGATCTCAGCACTGGCAAATGTTGGAACAGTTTCGATTTCATTAAATTTTTATGGCTCTTAGACTATTCAAATATCCATTTTTTAGGCAATTATTCCTTTTATGATTTTCTTAATGTACTATTTTGTCTGTTAGATATTTGCGTAAATGTACCTATTCATCTATTTATATTAACTGTAGGAATTTCAACTTCTACAAATATGTTATGATGTTTTCCTTTAGCTGTGATGACTACTGTAGTACTGTAGATGTGATGTTTAATTAAGTTTATTATTTTCAGTATAAAAATGTCAAAAAAAAGTTAAGTAATAGTAATAAGATTGAAGTTAATGTTATCAGATTTTCTCCAACATATTGTTCTGTACAAATTTTATAAGATTTTACCCTAACCTACATTTAAATACATTATTTTATATGTAGACCGTTGTTTCCGTCTTTCAAANCCGGAGACACGGAATATCCCTTGATGATGCAATCCTGAAAAATAATATTTAACACTAGTTATTATTATATTATTTGTTTTTTAAATCGGCTTACCATAAAGGTTAATGACTCTTATGCAAGATTTCATTATAAGGGGTATTTCCTGGTTTGTTGCTTCTAAATATTCCTCAAGGGAGCCACCAAATAACTTAGGTTGCCCACTTATCTGTAATCGTCCTATGCGCTTTCGTCGAGGGGTTTTAACGTGTTTTACAGGGGGACTTTTCGCTTCTGGGCTGTCTGCTAGTAAGGATTGTCTTATATATTCTTGTTTTGCATCCAATCTAGCAATTCGAGTTGAGCCCAATATATATTCTCGGAATTTCTAAAATATCAAGTTATTTATTTAATAACCAAGACCAATTACACAATTATAAATCTAAATAAACTTACGGTTAAGTAAAATTCTTCCGTTTCTTGTCTATCAGCTCGCTGTTTAATTGAAACTGTTTCCAATGGTTTGGTTGGAGGGATAGGATTTTCTTTAAAAAATCCGCTACAATCATAATCTTTTGCATTTAACATTTCTAATAGTGTCGATTCGGCTGTTTCTAATGTTTTCCAAACTTCTTCGGATTCAGTGCGTAACGTTGTAAGTCGCTGTTGAAGCTGATTAAGGCGCGATTCCATTTCTTGGTGCAACACTTTTTGTATTTCAGGTTCAGGGGATTGCTAAAAATTGAATAATTATTTATCGTATTGCACTTCAAATATTTTATTATGTGTATAAAAGTAAACGAATGCAATATATTGTAAATTTTTATTGCAGTATGTTTGAATAACGACATCTATGTACACATTACAGTAATAGTTAAAACAGAAAAAAAATTAATCAGTGTTTTAAACCAAAGTCAAAGAAATTATTGTTTCTAATTTACGTTAAATTAAATGTCTTGTATGTGACCCGAAAAATTATGACGACTCGTCGAATATACGCGATATCAAAATGTAACCGACTAATCGAGCAAGATTAAATTAAAAACAATTGCAAACCTTACATCATCAGTCTTTTGTCCTTGAAACTCTAATTTCTTAGGAATCATAAAAGCCGTATGGTTAAACTCAAGAAACCTTTGTTTATCAAGTCTGGAGTCGAGTGAATTAATGCAAGCTGAGAGGGCATCTAATCCACTTTGCACAGATTTCTGCCTACCTTCTTCCGCCGAAACGTGCATTAGTAAAGCTCTAGATACACAGTTGTGGAATCCGAAGTCCATGCACTGGAAGTTGTTAAAAATAATTTACCTTGAGGTTTAAAATACACTAAGAAAACAAATTTAACTAGTCTTCAAAATATTTAATGGTTACGCAAATAAACGAACTTACATCGATAAGATCGGACAAGTCATCCACAAAATATTTGTGAATTGTTGTATTCGATGCTTCTAGACATAAAATATATTCGTTTCTCGCCTTTAAGGCTTTTAACTTTGCATCGGTATATTTATTTTTCCGCTAAAAAAGATTACGTACGTAAGATATACCCCATTCTATCAAATATAATAAAATTTGGCAAAAACATTCACAATCAGTGATGAATATCTACCTTAACCACTTCTTTCTCTATTAATTTATACTTTTTTGATCTATCTAATTTATCTTGTGATAAAGTTTGCTCCAATTTTCCTCTTTGGGCTTCTGCTGCCCTTAATTTAACTTCTGCTTGTCGTAATTCTGCTTGATAACTGTGATACGTCTTCATTGTAGTATGGAGTTCGTGTAACACTCGCAATATTTCTTCGTGAGTTTCATATCCTATTTCACGGCACTGAAACATAAAAAATAGTATAAAAACTACACTCTCCCCAAAAAAATCCAAATTAACAATGGTTTACATACCCTTTTATATATTCTTTGTACATCTTCCATTACTTGAGTTAAGCGGTTAACCAAATGGGTAGAATAAACTTCTGATAGTACCGCATGATCTCTACTCAGATTTTTCGTCTGGGTCACCAATTGCTGCCAGCAAGCGTAACTCGAAAACAGTGGCCACTGTTCCCTTCTAAAAGAAAATTTACAATGATCATAATATACCCTCAATTATCCTTTGCTCAATTAAATTATCACGATCTAAGGCTTATCCTCTAATTTAGTCAGTTACTTTACTCACTTTTGTTTTTGTTCTTTATGCCGCAATTGAAGACTTTTGGCGAGCTTATCTAAATTTTTTGAGTAATCTAATTCTAGTTCTCCTCGACGGCGAAAAAAGTCTTGAAGTTCTGTTACTAGGGCTACCTGAGCTTCCATTCGTAAATCTAAACATCGTAATTGTTCGTTCAGCTGAAGCCTAATATCTAAAAACAAAAAAAAAAAACAAAATTTAATAAGTTAAGTTTCGAAAAAGGTTGTTAAAGATGTTTGGAGCACGGCGTTGTACGGGTGCGAAACATGGACAGTGGGCGCGGCGCAAAAGAAAAGGTTAGAAGCGTTCGAAATGTGGTGTTATAGGCGGATGATGAGGATAACGTGGGTAGAAAATGTTAGAAATGAAGAGGTATTAGAAAGAATAGGAGAACAGAGGACTCCATGGAAGTCAATAAAAAATAGGCGAGATAGGTTGGTAGGACACCTTCTCAGGCATGAAGGTCTAGTCAGAGACATATTAGAGG